ACTTAAGAAGGAATATAGCAAATAAGCATTGGAGCCAGGCACATCTGTGATCCCAGTGACAAGAGGATTACAAAGTCAAGGCCAGCCTCAGCACTTCCTGAGGCCCTAAGCTACATAATGAGATCCTATCTCAAAATAAAAAGTAAAAAGGGCTGGGGATATACCTCACTGTTAGTGCATCCTAGGTTCAATACCCATCTCCCCCATGACAGAAACATAAAATAAAAAATAAGTATTGTACTTTAATTATTTAACTATTGTACTTAGAATGAGCTCCTTTTTTTTTTTTTTTTTTAAGTTTAACCCAGAGGCACCTGACTACTGAGTCATATCCCGCCCTTTTTTGTCTTATTTAGAGACAGGGTCTCACTGAGTTGCTTAACACGTTGCTAAGTTGCTGAGGCTGGCTTTTTGAACTCTTCCTGCGTCTGCTACTGGGATTACAGGCACCCAGAGTGCCCTTCCTTAGCTCTTAAAAATGCTTATTATTTATTTATTTATTTATTGAGACAGAGTCTCACTAAGTTGCTTAGGGTCTTACTAAATTGCTGAGGCTGGCCTTGAACTTGCATTCCTCCTCTCAGATCCCCAAGTTGCTGGGATTACAGGTGTGTTCCGAACACCTAGTGAACTCCCTTATTTTTATACCAGTTTATTGCCAAGTGTACACTTCAGTGGTTCCCAGCACACCCACCTGGCCATGTAGCCATCAACACTATCCAGTTGTAGAACACTTCCTTCACCAAAAAGATACTGTGTACCTATTATCAGTTAGTCCCAATCATCCCGTTCCTTCATTGCTTGGTAACCACTCATCTACTTTGTCTATGTGTTTGGGTATTCTGGACATTTTGTATAAACAGAATCAGTATGTGGCCTTTTTGTAACTATTTTCCATTGCATAATGTTTCCAAGGTTCATTTACAGTGTAGCATGTAACAGTACTACATTCTTTTTCTTTCTTTTCTTTTTTTTTTTTAAAACAATTTGTTAATGTTATGGTTTGGATATGAGGTGTGCCCCCCAAAGCTCATGTGTGAGACAATGCAAGAAAGTTCAGAGAAGAAATGATTAGTTGTGAGAGCCTTAATCCAATTAGTGCATTAATCCCCCCCCCCCAGGGATTAACTGAGTGGTAATTGAAGGCTGGTAGGGTG